CTGGTCCTGGTTCCCCCGGGGGAACCAGGACCAGAGGGTTCTGGGTTGGAGTCCCGGGGGAACCAGGACCTTTCTGGGTGGTTCTGCATGTTCTCCTGTGTCTGTGGGTTCTCTCCGGGTTCTCCGGCTTCCTCCCACCATCCAAAAACCTGCATGTTAGGTTGTTGGACTCCAAACTGCCCTTAGTGTGAGTGTGTGTCGTTGTGGGTCCTTGTGTGTCTCTGTGTGTCCCTGTGATGGACTGGGGACCGTCCAGGGGGACCCCGCCTCTCCCCATGTGTGGAACATGTTCTTGTTCTGGTGCCCCCCCCCCCCCCCCCCAGATAAAAACACATCAATTATATCCTCATAAACTTGCAATATTATTTAGGAAAAAAGCAATATTTTACTCACTCACTTTTCTTGAAAAGTCCATCTTGAAAATGGACTTGACAGTAAATCTTCCACCAAATCAATTCAGGCATTGTGGGGACATAAAATAGCTATTACACCAACACAACTATATTAGTTAGTTAGTTATTTTGCTAGCTTTGGCTGGTTAGCTATCTGACTATCCAATCAGCGGGTGTGAATACGGTGACGTTACCTAAGGCCTTCTAGAAGGCCCTGGTGTCACCAACTTAAAATCTGATTGGTTAAAGCAACAGTTTAATAGATATTTATTTTCGGTTAGGGGGCAGAACGGATTGTGAAGGCCTCCAGGCAGACATCTTTGAATTTGACTCTGCCTAGCAACAAGTGATGGCTGAAATGTGATTGGTTAAAGGCTTTAATATGAAAATACATGTCTGGAAGCAGCACAACCAGGAGGAAAGCTATGAAAGGAAGCAGACAGACCATTTAGAGATATTTAATAAGTATTCATGGACAAAATATAACTAACATCAGTCTGGGATTCAGATATTTTCCCTGATGGCCCACCACTGCAATAGGGACAGTTAGCAAGTTAGAGTGAATCCACAAACTTGAAGAGTGGAGGGGGGCTTTTAGGAAAACTGGAATTCTCTGGGACTTCTGGTTACTTG